CTACACTATACTACACTTAATACTACGGAACGTAGGTACGTCTAAAGTACAATACCAAACGAACACAACCACCACCACCAACACATACAACTATACACAACTACTCTCTCTCTCTCTCTCTCTCTCTCTCTCTCTCTGAGAGCACAAATGAAATACAATGTGCAGAAGCAAGGAAGGAACAACAGGGGCTGACATGGTGACTTTAAGCTTTGGTGGGCTGCCATGGCTGGTACCTGGTCCAGTCTTTCTGGCCAGGATTGAGAGAGTGGCCCTTGGAATGATATATGTACTCATCACCCTCTCCTGAGAAATTCTCCCTATGCTCCACACCGTATCTCTTTGGTTTCAGCATCAAAAGCTGCACAACGAAATAATTCAAGGAAAAGATGGCCTAAGTGGTCTGTGAATGCAAATAATAGCTCTTTCTACACAGCAATCGCCAAAATTGCACATAGAAGAACCATAAAAGTTCGTACAAAGTGCAAACTGGTGTATGGCACATGGTACACCACTGGGAGTCGAGGTCATCCAATATACACTCCCAATAACAGATGGGATCATTAGGGCAGGCAGTATCGACCGTCATCTTTCTGGTTTTCAATGTAATATACCAAGAGCAAGGAAGGATATTGTAAACAAAAGATAATGGTAGATTCATATCCTGTTAGGGTTATCATCATCCCAATTAAATGATGAACAGTGGAGAGAATGGGACCCACCACAACAGAACATGAATAATGACATGTCCTACTCTCTCCCCATCATCATCAATCATTTCAATCGATGGAAATGACCCAATGGACAGCCGTTTTCCAAAATCTTTTCATTATGGTATACTTTCCCGAGAAGGCAATGTATTAACTAATTATTTGACTTACTTCATCACCAGTGTGATCAGTAATGAAATGGAGCCAACCATGCCATTCTGGGGGAACCTGAGAAGCATTGTAGCAACCTTTGTCCCCATATTCAACCCACCTATGTCTTCCTGAAAGCCAGAGGCATTTTTCACAGTTCTGGTTTTCATTAAGTAAATAATTTTTCATGCTTTACCTTAGTTGATAACGTAGTCAAACAATACAAGCTAACAAAGCTACCAAAAGTAAGGAAGTGTTGGTTGCTTCAGAAATCCAAAGACCCCAAATTTCATGAATTTGAGGGGACAATGTCCGCCTTTTCTCTTTTTCAAGGAAATGACAATCTTGTTACACTAACAAAGGGGGGGAAAGAATGCCCCAGAGAACCCCTCTCTTTTCATATTCATCATTAAACGAAACCATTTCCATTCCTGCGATGTAACAGAGATGGTTTGTTCAGCTTACCTGCAATCTCAGATTCTGAATCGAACATGCATCTGAGACTGCTATTAGGGGATATGAGAGATGGAGAGAGGGGGGGGGGGGGTATTCTAGTCACCTTCCTCACTGTCAAACTCTTTGCAGCAATACCTTCTGAGAGAACTAGCATTTCTAGTGTTCAGAGGTCCTTTTTTTTGCTTCTTCTTTTTTTTCCCTTTTCGTGGAAAGCTTAAAAAAATATAAGTAATTAATATCCATTGCATAGAAAATCAAACTTTTCAAAGCTTGTAAAGTACTCAAACTTTAGAAAACTTTACATGCCTTGATCCTTTTTGGCAATCAAACAAAATCAAGGTAATTTATTGGGAATGTATACTATGAAACCATTTATCTTTGTTACAAGGAGGTCACAATTATTCCTAGCTATTGGATGTCAAACTGGATGGCTTGGGGTGTGTGTTACGAAGTTCGAGAAAAGAAATTTTGAACTTTCAGTCAATGACACTCTTATAACCACGCAATTTGAAATCTGATTGACGAGTGGTTGCAACCTCCTAGCACCAAAAGTAATTGATCTCTTGGTATACTTTTCCTAATTTATTAAGGGATAGATTATTCAATATTTTACCTTGTTGCAACTATTCCATGTCATGATCATTTGTTTTTTAATGGGTATTTTGAAATTAAATCAAAAGACATGGGTAAAATGTTAAATTATTCATATCTTATGGTTTCTGATAAATTTCACATTTATTAACTTTAACATAATTTTGTCTGCATATATTTGGGAAGCACTTAACCAACATATACTTTGCATATGAATTAATAACAGTGTAAGAGTGTTCATAAGAAGCGGAAAATTATACATGCCAGAAATCCGAAAATAGAAAAGAGGAATACCAAATTGAGTGTCTTCCAATCTCTCGTAGTATTTGTTTCCAAACTTGTCGACTCCAACTAGTGTGGCACCTATATTATGTATTTTGGTTTGCCTGTGCATACGCAAAAACTCAGCATGTAATCGGGCTTTAACTATCATGATAACTATAGAATTCAGAAAATACACTTGACTTAATAGAAGCTGGGAAGCTAAACTAAACGCATAGCAGACATACATTTGCAGAACCACAGGAACCAGTATCCAAGAAGTGCCAATATTAAATACATCAGTCATGAACCACAATCATTAAGTAGGGAGAAAATAAGACCACAAGTCCACAACTGCACAATCTGCAACCTATAGGCCTTAAAAGCTTGTTACATAACCCAACTGATATAATAAAAGTGTTAAAAATAATTAATAGTCTTCTTCATCAATTTCATTTCCATCGCCTTGCTCATCACTAGACTCCTCAATGTTGACCGATAAAATTCATCTAGACTTATGAGAACGTTCACATGTTATTAAGTAAGATACAGTCTTACATTCATAGAGTGCATAAAAACTTCAAACATAAAATTAATATAAATTTATTATTTTTAAATTTTACCTTCTTATGGTGGTTCCATCTCCATCCAATTATCTAGATGCCTTCATTCTTTGAGTGCATAAAAACTTCAAACATAAAATTGATATAAAATTATTATATTTAAATTTTACCTTCTTATGGTGATTCCATCTCCATCCAATTATCTAGATGCCTTCCAGAGCAGGCCTCCTCTCTTTCTTGACAACCCACTCGTCCACATTTTCAATCCTTTCCAAGTCAATTGGGTCTAAGCGCACAAGGTATAATTGTATGTAGATGGAACCACCATAGGAAGTCAAAATTTAAATATAATTTTCTTGACAATCCATTCTTCCACATTATCAATCCTTTCCAAGTCAAATGGTTCTAAAGGCATTGGGTTTAATTGGATGGCGATGGAACCACCTTAAGAAGGTAAAATTTAAATATAATAATTTTAAGTTTGAAGTTTTAATGCACTCTAAGAATGTAGGATTGTATCTTACTAATAAGTATGTGAACTTTTTCATAAGTTACTTGCAAACATGTGAACTTTCTCATAAGTGTAGATGACAATAATTTTAGAGGTCAACATTGAGGAGCCCAGCGATGACCAAGGAGATGGAAAGGAAGTTGATGAAAAAGACTATTGATTATTTTGACACTTTAAATATATCAGTTGGGTTTTGTAATCGTAACAAGCTTTTAAGGCCTATAGGTTTTAGATTGTGGAGTTGAGGACTTGTGGTGATGTAATTATTTTCTCCCTACTTATGATTGTGGTTCATGACTAATGTGTTTTTTTTTTTTTTATACGAAAGTTTTCAATATTATGTTATGAGTTTTTTGTTTTGTCTTCTTTACGAATTTGAGTTATTGTATTATTAATGACTATTGCCTTATGGTTGGAAGAGTTATATTTGTTTCTAATATTTTTTTGAATTTTTCTTAATTTTTAGGTTTTTCCTATTTTTCCGTAATTTTTTCCATTTCCCATATTTCCGTATTTTTACTATTTTTATTAATTATTTAATTTATTAGACCAGTCTAACTTGTTAACTGGTCTGCTTCGGCCAGTCCAACAAAACTGGTTCTGTCACCAGTCCGGTCCTAACGATATTGCTCCAGGCATTATATGACAAGTTCAAACTGCACAAACACAGAGAACAGTCAATTGCTCTCAAGAAACAAAGAAACAAAAAAAGGGCGGAAAAAGGAAGAAACCTATATATAGGCTCATATAACCCCACAGACGGTTTCATATCATACTAGAATAGCAATCAATACTAGATTTTCTAGGAATCATGAAGATCAGGTGACCAAAACGAGGAGTTGTGTGCTAGTAACCTTTTTTTCTTTTTTTTTTCTTTCATAAGATCCATCTCTATGCTACTGACCTTGTAGTCAGAGAAGAATCAATGAAATAACTCAAAAGTCACCCAAGTTCCACCTTTTGACATTAAAGTCTTAAAAAGCATTCCAAAAACAAAGGGAGAAAGGCTAATAATACAAAAGAATCAAGTAATCAAATAAATATATCATTATCTCACAAAGGACCCAAATTTTGAACTTCCTTCAAAACTTACATAAGAAGTGAAACCATATGCAACTCCGACAGAGAAATCATACGAACTCCAACTGAGGAAAATTGTTGCCTCAACTAACTCAGGGAAACCACTGGAGGATCTCTGTACGTATCAATGACTAGCAAGAATATTTACTCATCTCATTATCACAATTCCATAAAAGGAACAATAAACTGAAGCATAGTGAATCAGTTTATGCAATCTCCAAGAACTGGGCACCTATATGCAGTTTACAATCAAGTATTTGAAGTTATCTCTGGGGAAAGGTGTCCTCTATCTCTATGCTCTCAATAATGATACACAGGTGCAAGGTTATTCAAATACCAAATGATCTACACACCCTTTCATAGGAAGCCTACCGCAAGAATTAGTGCTTCAGTAAGAGGCCACTAAATAACATGGAAAAGAGAGGAAAAGGTACATGTTGCCAAATCAAGTGCAAAGACAGAAGATAGAACCATGGCTTCCATGTCTTATGAGATCATCTAGAATCATTCCCCACTATGATATGAGAATTCCTTCAAATATGTATTATGGCAATCAAGCAACAACCCAAATCTTTCTAATTTTGTCTTCCAGGTGACTACAAAGTGTAAAGAGTTTAATAGTCATTTTTAATGAATAGGTAAATAGCAAATGTTGTTAGGATTCCACTTTACAAGGGAGATCAGTTAGTAAACATGTTTACAAAATCCATGACCAAAGATCTTGCTTCTGAGTCTATGCAAGCCGCACACAAAAACAGCCATGCCTAGGCTTGTGGGGGAACCATACATGATCCTATTAACAAAAATAAAGAAAAAGAAATATCTTCGAGGTGTAATGTCACTTATAGTCTTAGCGACCATACATGCACATGTAAACAAGAGATACTTCGATCAAAAGATTATTATTATTATTTCAAAATCATAAGTAGCTCACACAGAGATCCATCATTTGATTTTGGTATTATCAAGGAAAAAAAAAAGGAGCTCAACAAACAAAAAGAAACAGATTAACAGTTGGACAATGTTTAGGACAGTTACTATTCATAAATGCATGAGCTTATGCCTCGTGTCCATGCAAACACCAAATGGCTTCATCTTCCTTGATTTTGAAATGAGAAATAAAATCACTTGCTTGGTAAGTCCCAGATTTCAAAATATTTAATGAACAAGTCAAACTTTAAAATTTCCATTTGCTGAAGGAAAATATTTCTATGTATAGTTCTGTTGATTTCAACAGCCTTGTCCAGGAGCCAGAAAAATGTCAATTTGTAGGATGGTAGCTCCTGCTTAAACTATGATTCTGGACCATCTATCTATTGGACAATACGATCAATAGTTTTACGAGCTCAAACCCTTTTTTTCTGAAATACATCATAAAGTGAATAAAGAACTGTTTAAAATAAAAAAAAGTTCCAAACATCTTCCTAAAATGGTTTTCGGTGGGGTTGGGGTCGATGCAGCAGAACTGACCGGGCAGTACATCGGTAGTTTTTGCTTTAGATAACGATAGAAAAGCTTCCATTCATTAAAAATAAGTAATTAAAGTTCATGTTTCCAATTCAATTGCTTTACGCATACTGATGTCAGCTGGGAACTTTGGAGAATATGAATAACATAAAAATCCTAGAAGAATGCTGTTCAATGCTGTTTTAAATGAGGCAAGAATCTCAAGAACAATATTCCAAAACCAATAAGGCAAATCCTTCTAATGCTATGCTTGGCTGAAAATGAAAATAAATCCATACTTTATTTTTATTTTTTTCAATGTAGATGGTCATGAGCTAAACTACATTAAATTGATTTGTGATTGAGGCTTGTTTGGCAGTCAATTCGACCCTTAATTGAAACTTGATGAAATTCATTGAAATTTTGGAAATCACCAAAACTTGCTCTCTCTCTCTCTCTCTCTCTCTCTCTCTCTCTCTCTCTCTCTACTCTACTACTACTACTACTACTACTACTACTACTACTACTCTACTCTACTCTACTCTACTCTACTACGTACGTACGTACGTACGTACGTACGTACGTACGTACGTACGTACGTACGTACGTACGTACGTACGTACGTACGTACGTACGTAC